TAGTTGAATAATAGATTCTTTATTTCGCAAGAATATAATAATTTGGAATTTTATTTTGAATCTCTTCTGTTCAGCGAATCTACAGAGTGCGTTACGAATCAGTCGCCACAATTTTTCTTGACACTTCCGGTCATCTGACCAAAAATCGTTGCGAAGAGAACTTAGTCAGTACTCAAGCGGCAAGAAAGTGCAGATTTAAAAATAGCTAGAAATATTTCTTTCCAATAACAAAATGGTCACCATAATATTTTTTAAACGGGACTATACATTTTTAAGTTCGTAGTATTACGTATAAGTGTTGTCAAGACGAATTCAACGTGCTGGTACACCTTGTGACGACCTTGAATTCAGAAATCGTCACGAATCGATTGCTACGATATTTAACCTAATTGACCGACGATACATAACGCCGAAGCACCGAAAATCTGAAAAATCTTATTCTTTAACGGAAGCTATACATCAGAATATGTTAGACAGTATATGTTGCGTTTTCCGAAGGTGAGGTTCCATTTCGAACATTTAATTTAATCGATTGCATGTACGTTTTAAATAAAATTTCATTTCCAGTTATTTGTATTATTATATCCTGTGCATGTTTTTCATTTTGTTTACGCCTGTTGGGTTTCAGTTATGTGAGGTAGTCGAACTGAATGAAACGCCCGAGGTTAACACAACACAATATATTTAACAATAATAAGGAATCGTTACAACTATACATGTGCACACTTGGAAGAGAGAGACATGGCCGCATTTGAATATTTGAATGGCATTTTGAATACTTTAACAATTATATAACGGGAATAAATAAATATTACTTATACCATGAGAATGCTACGACTTCATGTCTTCGACAATGTCTTGTCAATGTCTTTTACGACAATGTCTTCCGTGGAAATGATATGTTGTTCAGTAACTCGAGCTGCTTACAATAGTTGTGCCAGGTGGTGAATATGGTGGACGGAACTGATTCATCCCAGTTCAATTTGAGTAGCCAAAGCTGTTGCAGTAGAATCTTCGCGACCACAATTACTGGACCGAGCAAACCGAGAGGGTCGAAAATTCTGGCTATTTCGGAGAGAATAGTTCGCTTGGTGATCCTGTTGGTTGAGAAAATGGAAATGGTGAGTCCCAAAAAACGCCTAATGTTTTTAGTGTTCGATCTTGGTGGTCTTGTAGTGATAATTTGACAGATCCTTCTGTCAGCCCTTCCAAGAGTGACCGGTCGTTGGATGCCCATTGTCGAATGTGAATGCCGCCGCGCTGTAGCAGGTGAATAATTTCGTCTCGTAAATTGATCGCCTCTTCTCTGGTTTGGGTTCCGGTGATTAAATCATCGACGTACAAATCCCGTGTCAAGGTTTTAGATGCTGTTGGAAATTGACTGGCTTCATCTTCTGCAAGTTGTTGAATGCATCGTGTAGCGAGATACGGTGCTGCTGCTAGTCCAAATGTGACGGCGTTCAGCTGGTATGTAATCATTTTGCCATTGTTGTCTCGCTAGAAGATTCGTTGAAATTTCCGATCTTCTTCACGCACGAGGAACTGCCGGTACATCTTTTCGATGTCTCCGGTCAGGACATATTTGTATAAACGAAAACGCAGCAACAAAGAATTGATGTCGTCTTGAATGGTTGGTCCGACCATTAAAGTGTCGTTGAGTGAAGTCCCGGTGTTCGATTTTGATGAACCGTCGAAGACGACGCGAATTTTAGTGGTCTGGCTGCTTTCCTTGATAACGGCGTGGTGTGGTAAATAATAACCTGGTTGGGTATTAGAAGTAGCGGTTAAATGGCCGAGGTCTATGTATTCTTGAATGACGGCGGTGTATTGGTCTTTTAATATGGGATTAGACTTGAGTTTATTCTTCAGTGAATGAAATCGTCTTAACGCGGTATTTCGAGAATCGCCGAGGTTGCGCTTATTGTCCTTGAATGGTAAAGCCACCACATACCTGCCATCGGGTGACCGTCTTGTGTTTAATTTAAAGTGTTCCTCGGCTGCTTGTTCTTCCGAGGTGAGGTGAGGTGTAGTTGCGCTTTCTTCTAATTTCCAAAACCTTTCCAGGTCAAGTTGTAAACTGGTGTTATGACAGGTTAGTGATGTGGGTGATGGTTCGCTGCGGGTTGGAACGCTTCCTCCGATGATCCAACCGAGCTGTGTTTTTTGAAGTATTAAATCCGAGTTTGATGGCGTTGGAAGCCTTATTTGTCCAATGCTGAAGAAGGATAGGGTCGGGCCTGTTCCGAGTAGTATTTGAACTGGTGCTGGTTTGTCGAAATCAAGATCAGCCAAGTGAATGTTCGGAGGCATAGAAATGTATTTGCGATTGATTGGTTGGTTTGGAATGAGTGTTGATATTTTGTATGATAAAGAAATTGAGTGTTTTCTTGAGATTGGTATGAATTGATTGAATTGTAGTAGCAACGTATTGATTGCATGTTGTGATAACTGTAGTTTTCGGGCCAACTCCTCGGTCATAAAGTTGGCCCTGGAGTAGGTATCCAACAGGGTTCTGCAATTGATGAATGCTCCGTCCCGTGCACGTACCTTTATATTTGCCGTTTTCATGATTTCATCGATGCAGAGGTTGACGGTGAATGAATGCTGCGTTGGGAGGTTATGTCAGGATTGTTCTCGTTCTGGTGGTTCCATGTGTAGAAGTGTGTGATGTGTTTCGTCGCATACTCTGCATGTCATTGACCTGTATTGAAGGGCGTCGTGTCCTTTTCGTAAGCAGTTTTTGCAGAGTCCTGCTTGTTTGATACGACTGTTGCGGTCTATGATAGTCAATCCCTTCAATTCGGGACAATCGTAAATACGGTGCGTGTTTGTCTTGCATAATGAACATCCAACGGTCACTGTTGTAACGTGTACATGTTGGATTTTCGGATTGGTCGTCTTGGTTTCTGCTGATCTTGTTCTATTGTTATACCTTGACGAGGAGGTGGTTGGTTGCATGTATTTTTCCGCTATCTCCAAACATCTTGCCTTGTCTGTAAGGAAATCAATTAAATTTTCTAGGGTTGGCATGCGGTCGGAAGATTCAGTCTTCTCGAATTCCATGCGTGAATCACGATCCAATTTTGGAAGGAGATGAAGGATCGTTAGCGTTTCCCAATGTTCCGTTGGCTGTCCTAGGCTTTTTAATGATTTTAAGTGCAGCCGAATGTTGTTCGTGAAGCTGCGTATAGAGCTGGCTGAATTGTGTACGATTGGAGGCACGCTGAGAAGTAACTCTCCATGACGCAATATAATTAGTCGGTGATTCGCGTAGGTTTTAATGAGGAGTTCCCATGCATGAGTATAATTTTGCTCCGTTATGTCTAAAGAGCTGATCACATCTGCGGCTTCTCCAGACAGCGCGGACCGTAAATGGAACATTGGAAAGCATTACCTGGCCGTCGATTAATGAAATGAACTGATCCTTGAAGGTTAACCAGTTTTCTACCCTTCCATCGAAGCGTGGTAGCTCGATTCGTGGTAATTTGACGTTGGTTGTTATGGTTGATAGTGAAGGATTATTATGTTGTTGCGTGTTGTTGTGACGGAGGATTCTTTCGGCTGCTGCATTCACGTTGTCGTATTGTTCCTCCATGTTTTCTTGCTTTGTCGCTTGTGTGTGCCCTGTATCTAATCTTTCAAGTTCCTGCTGTATTTCTTCGAAGGACCCGAAGCTTTGATGTAGACGCTTCATTTTCACTGATAACTTGATTGGGTCTGGATCTTCTGTGTATTTGGTCAGGTAATTTTGAAGTTGCGTGAGGTGTGTTTTGATAACTGCGCGTCGCATGATGAGATCCTTTTGTTCACTGGTTGCCATGTTCAATTGTATTCACTGCACTAAGTCACGGATTTCACTGCATTCGCTAATTCACTTAGAGTATTCCGGCTCGAAGGACCAAACTTATTTCGTGTAACCCTTACAATTCTAAAGAATTCTTCGTGGTTGTAAATCACGATACACTGGACGCGATAATGTTTACACGAAATGAACTTTGTCTCAAACTAATAAGGCAAAGGTGTTCTTAATTGAATGACAATGCACTATTGGTTTTATTAATATATTTAATAACAAATATTAACTGGTTCAATGTGGTCGAGGTATGTGTCAGTGTTTGACTGCGATGGTGTGATTGACTTTCGTAAACAAAAATGTTGCCCTTATACAGAAAAGAGTGGTTGGGGTGTGTTGTCGTGGGACCAATCCTTGACGTTCGATTTTTAAGGGTCGTCCTCCCCGAGCGACGAGCATTCCGCCCATTCCGGAATTTCCGAGATGATAGAGTGGGACATGATTGCGACCGGGGACTCGGACCCACGTGGCAATTGGTCCTAACGGGATTTTGAATTTTCGTGTTGCGAGTGTGGCTTTACGACAAGTCATTAGCTACTGCGGGAAACGGATGGGCAGCAGAATGGCGTGTGGCGAGCGAAATGCAAAGGTTCAATAACCTTAAACACCTTCTGTGCCTCGCCCTCGAGAAAGATATTAATAAAGCGATTAGAAAAAAGGGAGGCACTCGAAAATAGCTTGGACTGATCGTACGTGTCATAAAGCCGAAAGGATAACAGTTTAGGCTTATTGGGGATGCGTCCATTGTCACGTTCGGTACCGAACAAGTGCTGTGAATAATTATAGACTCAACAGTATTTTTGCATTTTTCATCATGTTAAATGAAAAATTTGAAAAGCCACTTATACATTTCCATCACTTAATCGAAAGTAAAACTGAAGTACAAAGAAACTTAAACTTACTTTTTCGAAAACATGAAGAAAATGAAAGTTTCTTCGAAAATTGTGTTTAAAGGTGTGAACAAATATAAACTCAATATTAATTTTTATACTATTACATTTAGTACTTACAAGGAGAGTGCAAGGCCTTCGGGTCACCAATTTAGTTAAGACTTTGTACACTTATAGATCTCGTTCACCCTTTTACGCATATATACTACTGTAGGGGCAAACACTTAATAATTTTTAAGTTATTCATAAACAAAGTTCTATTATTGTTTAATCTACAATTGTAGTTAAAGTGTTCAACAAATATTGTACTGGTGTATCATTTCACACTCCGCAGAAATGACAGTACCTCGCAAAACCGTCCTCATCCGCCTCCCAAACATACCGCCACACATCAAAAACCTAATCAAGACTAAGTACAGAATACGCACACTTTGGCAAACGCACAGACACTACGAAGCAAGAGCCCTCCTAAACAAGTACACGGGACTAGTTCAGCACCACCTAATAGAATGGTAAAACGCACAATGGGACAGAAAATTACAACGACTGAACCTGAAAGACAACTCCTGGAAAGTGACAAAATTTTTTAACACTCAAAACCATCGCACCACTCTCAACCTACAAACCAACAACTCAATAGCACAAACAGACTCGGACAAAGCGGAAGCTCTAGCAGTACACTACGCAAACATTCACCAGCAAATACGCAGTCACGGTAACCCATCATTCACAGCTCAAATCCATGCTCACATACGAAAGCTCCGAGAAGCCCAACCTCCTCATGGAACACCATCACCCCCCACCAAACTTTCCTCCCCAAAAGAAGTCCAAACCATCCTTGCAAAACTCAGGAATAATAAGGCCCCCGGTCACGTTAACATCCAAAACACCCTACTAAAAAATCTCCTTAAAAAAGCAATAATGAGACAAACATACATAATCAGCGCCATCCTCACCCACTGCTACTTTCCCAATACCTGGAAGAACGCGACTATCATCCCCATACCCAAACCCAATAAAAATCCCACTCTCCCCTCCAGCTACCGTCCTATCAGCCTCCTCCCGTTTCTCTCCAAAGTGGTAGAAACAATCACCCTTGCTCGCCTATCCTCCTTTCTGAACGACTACAACACCATCCCTCCCACTCAATTCGGTTTCCGCCAAAAGCATTCCACCATCTACCAACTAGCTAGAGTAACTAGCGATATAAAAACCCAGCTGGCTATAAAAAAACACCGCCGCCATGATCTTTCTGGATACGGAAAAGGCTTTCGACACCGTATAGATCGAAGGCCTCACCCACCACCTCCTAACTCATAAGGTCCCCACCCCTCTTACAAAACTAATTCACTCATTCCTCACACAATGTAAAATAACAGTCAGAATAGGACAGACCTACTCCCAAACGCACAACATAATGGTCGGAGTCTCCCAAGGCTCCGTCCTCTCTCCCACACTCTTCAAAATCTTCATTGCCCATGCCTTCCGCGACCTTCCCAAGCAGGCAAGCATTGCAGGCTTCGCAGACGACATCGTGCTATACACCGCCAGCCCCTCGCCACACAAGGCCATAAACAGAATACAAAACGCAGTTCAGCTAATAGTCAACAGGCTAAAAAAGTGGAAACTAAACACCAACACCGACAAAACCGAAGCCATCCTATTCACATACAAAAAATCACTTTCACCGGCAGTCAATATTCACAACTCCACCATTCAGTTCCAGAATTGCGTCAAAATACCTAGGCATACGCATAGACACCAGACTCACTTGGGCCACCCAAATAGCGCAAGCGAATAAAATAGCCACTTCTATCCTCGCCAGATACTACCACCTCCTAAAATCTCCATCCCTCTCCATCAAACTCAAACTCCTACTTTACAAATCCATCATCCGCCCCGTCCTCACGTACGCCTCCCCTGTATGGCACACGACGGTACACACACACATGAACAAAATTCAAATTACGCAAAATAAATGTCTCCGAATCGCCGCTAAAATCTCCAGACGCACACTAATCACCGAAATACACCACACCTTAAACATGCAGAACCTCAATACCAATCTAAACAATAAACTGGCCAACCACCCAAACCCACTATTAAGATCCGTCACGATCAACTCAGCACCTACCTGGGGTTGCCGCTCACCCCCCAATAAACGCACTCAGGCCGCGCGTACCTCTGCTACCCGGCCAAACTGAAAAGGGACGGAAGCAGTTCACGTCGAAACACTCATAATGTACGTACGCAACCATTGGGTGCTCACCCGTTAATATAAGACAAACTGTAAATATACCATAATGTAAATAACTTGTAAACACAAACTAACCCCACTAACCTAGAATAAGCCCCAACTAACTACCAACTAACACCCCCCCCCAGACTAAGTGACACCTCTTCAACCCTCAAGCTACTGGGTTTTTATATAGTGAATTTTCCCCTTTCACACACTGCACACTAACAAAAGAACATCATGCCCTGAAAAGCATAGACATACCCCTCTCCTAGCGCCAGATGCCTTCGGGCAGGCAGCGCACCACTAGACCTAAGATAAATATTGTATATAATATAAGTAATTACAATATGTACTACATTTACGCTACGGTAGGCTAGGGTGCAACTCCTTTCTCATGAAAAATATATATTTTTTGGACTTATTCATTTATATTATTTAATTCGGTGTGTAACGTTTACTTGCATAAGAGATTACACATTTATTACAAAATAATGAATAAAAGTTTTAATAAATTATAAATAAATATAATTGAAATTAATAGAATATTAAACTACCGTCTCGTGTCTGGAAACAGAAAAAATAAAGT